AACTGTGCAGCTATTGCATAAACCAAGTACATTCAACATATCCCCAGATAGCTTAGATCTGAGCGCACATTATTACCGAATGGCGCTCAGATCACATACATACAGTTCAATCGCCATGGAGCCAAAGTCTTTCCCATAGTCTTTCGTTACACGAATGGGCTCCATAGCATAGCTATCTGGGGTAACACTGTTCACTCAGTCAAAGTACCGAACGGATGGCGTTTGTATGAATTGCAGGAGAAGGGAGGATGGTGGCTCAGCGGTGCAAAAAGTGTCCATTTTGAGTTCCATAGATTTGGAGCTGAACCTCGCTGGCCGTTCGGGAGTTTAAGATGGCTGCTGCCATGTGTTCAGTTATATGAACAGCGGCCACTCAGCGTTCACCAATTAAGCTGCGGTTAGGCAATTAAGCTGCGGGAGGTAAATCACTGGCACATTCCTTGCTCAGGTGGTCCCCCCATACGTGCATTGGTTCGGTAGATTCAATCTACCAAACGCCCAGGCAGAAAGACACGAACAAGCCTTTCTGCAGGGGAAAATAACAGCGTTTAACATGGAGGCATAGTCCAGAGGGAGAAGGCTAGCAACCAGGCTTCTCCAGTGCTTCGTGGCGAGGTTGGTTCCGCCACATCTTATTTGCATAATATTCAGTCAGACGTATTCTTGCAAATGTTGGCAGTGTACATTTAAGTAATTTTATCAAATATTTGGCATTGATTCCACTGTGTCTACTTATTCCAGAAACATTATGGCAAATGATCTGTTTGTAACATTTGCACTCTCTCTCCCCTTGTTAAAACAATTTTTCTTCAATACCCAACCCTTTGCCTCAACACTGCATCGTGTGTGTATGTCAGACATTAAACTCCACCAGTTAATAATATTGTGATAATATTAATAGTTTCACATGCACGTATCTTCCTCCTATAGCTGTAAACATAAATAAAAACTGTTCTACAGTATAACTTTCTTAAAACACCTTCCATTAAATATCAAACACCCTCCATTTGCCCATTTTATAACTCTCTCATAATTGGTACAGGAGGGGAGGGGGCAATAAATGTTACAGGAGGGGATGGGGGAAAATAATAAGTAGATAAGCGGAGGGGGGGCAATAAAAGTTACAGGAGGGTAGGGGAACAATAATTGGTACAGGAGGCGAGAGGGGGCAGTACAAGTTACAGGAGGGAGGGAGAATAATAGGTACAGTAGGGGAGGGGGACTATAACAGGTAAAGGAGGGAGGAACAATGATAGGTACAGGAGGGGGCAATAAATTATACGGGAGGGGGGACAATAATAGATACAAAGGGGGGGACAAAAAGGTACAGGAGGGGGACAATAATAGATACAAGAGGGAAGGGGGACAATAAATGTTACAGGAGGGGAGGGGGACCAATAATAGGTACAGGAGGGGGGCAATAATAGGTACAGTATGGGAGGGATGAGAATGATGGGTACAGGAGGGGAGAGGGGAAACTATAATAGGTACAGAAGGGGAGAGGGGACTATGAAATATATAGGAGAGGAGAGAGGTCAATGAAAGGTACAGGAGGGGATGGGAGGACAATGAAAGGGACAGGAGCAGAGGGGGACAATAAAAGTACAGGAGTGGAGGTTAGGACAATGAAAGGGACAGGAGGGAAGGGTGACCTTTAAAAGCACAGGAGGGGAGAAGGACAATGAAAGGTTCAGGAGGGGGCAATGAAAGGCACAGGAAGGATATTGAAAGGAGGGCTGGGGGGCACAAAGAGACATACAGAGGAGCACAGGGCACAAAGAGACACACTGAGGGACTGAGGGGGCACAAAGACACAGAGGGGGACAAAGAGACACACAGAGGGGCTGGGAAGAAAAATAAGCACACACAAAGGGGGAATGGGGGTAAGACATTTGAAAAAAGGGTTGAAGATACATCTTTTTGGGAGATGGGGAGGCAAAATGCGTCTTTGTCTGTGTAGTAAAAAATCATTGCACCAAACCTGCCTGCAGGACCTGCCTTTTGCAGACCGTCCGGACGCAGGAAGAGATGTGCGACTGCACATGGAGCTAGGCAGCTGACAGCTGACACAGCATTCAGTATGGTACTGGCTTAGGCCGCTGGGTGCGAACAGTCTTGCAGGGTGGGCACTGTATATGTCATGGCATCTCATGAGGCCCAGGCTCGGATGCCATGGCAAAAGACAAGGGGAGGGACTGGGAGACTGGACACTGACATGGAGACTTATTTTGTTACAGCTGTTCTATATTTATTTGTTTATTGCATGTGAATTTTGGAGATGTTTTTGTAAACTGGCACTTTACAATAAATATTGCACTGAGAAATATATATGCATACAAGCGTATAATTTTTTTGGGGGGGCGGGGGGCTGGATCTTGGGTGAGTTCCCACACTTTGTTCCCCAGGACTTGACCCCTGATACATACCATATTGAAATCTTCATCAAATCCTCATCATGCTCCTCAATGAAGAAACATGCTGCACCGCACAGTCCACCTTTTTACACCTCTCTTAAGCCCTCCTCCTCCACTTTTTTCCTTATCATCTTCCCCCTCTCCTTAATCACTTTTCATTTACTCCTTTTATTTTTACACCTCTCAAACTCTCCTCCTTCCCCCCTTTATTCAGCCCTCCTCCTGCTCCTCACTGATGCTGCCTGGCAAAACATGGCACAATGGCAAACACATACAGACACACACACAAACAGCAATGTCAGCCACATACACACACACACACACACACACAAACAGACAGCAATGTCAGACACACACAGACAAGTTAAGTCAAATCTCTACTCATAGTAAACATTGCAATGATATTATTGGTATGCCCATGAAAGCTCAGAAAGACAACAGTACGGTCTAAACCCATTTTTAAGACTTACCTTTATCTTCAGGAACTACATTCCTTATCCTATTCTCTCCTCCTTATCTACTCCTGGCCACACAGTCTTCTTCTTCTCTTCTTTTTTTGTGCTCCAAAACACGCTCCTTCCTCCTGATCTGCAGAGCGCTAACTCAAAATGAAATTGAAGCAAAATGGCGGCACATCCGGGCAAAGGCTTATCAAGGCGGGAGTTCATAAAATGGGAAATTTCTGTATTTTTGTATGGCATCTCCCTCTGCTCATTGTGTTTCAATGTAATATTTTGTGTTAATAAAGTACATATTTTAACCAACAAGATTAAGTCCAGTATTTTTGTCCCGCATCTGGACCCGACTCTGTGGAAGCATTTATATGTTAAGTGGAAAATGAGAAAAGAACTCACATATCAGGACTCTCTTATGGTAGGCCCATTTATTTCTTTACCTGTTTTGATGCTTGTCTACTACATTATATGTCTGGGACATCAGCCATTATATGTCCTCTACTACATATAAGGACTCAACCCCTTATATAATGACTTAACCCCTTCTCAGGGAACCCTAAATCCTGTTCTAAAATGAATTCAGAGTACTGTATATACATATATATATATATATATATATATATATATATATATATATAAATAGCAAGGGCTTGTACTTCTGGTAATGTTCTATAGTGCCTGGTGCTGGATTGGGAAAATCAGGTAGATGTAGCAGAAATGACTGCACGCCAAGGTCTTTGTAGAAGTTTTCAAGTAAAATTTAACTTTTATTTAATCCATATAAAAAAGTCAACGTTTCACCCCCCACATGGAGCTTTCATCAAGACATGGAGTGCCCTGGCATTGTCCCAGTGCAGTCTGTCAGCCCGTTTGAGCAGATTTTGACACTACCTGGGTCCTGCTACGCTCCCTGTGCTTCTTCTAGTCTTCGCCAGTTGGTGAAGTCTGGTGTCAGTTTGTTAAAAGTAAACTGTGTAGTGTGGACAATTGGCCATAGAGTGAATCTGGTATGGGAAAAAACTATTTACCTGAAGTATTTCCCATATACACTGAATACACCATATAACATAAAGATACAAGGTGTATTCAATGGAAAATATAAAGTTTTACTCACTTTTCCTCTGTGCCACTTCGGCTTTGTGTGTGTTACGTTTAAAGCCCACCTCCAGGTCGTCTTTTATTCCGCCTGTGCTACTCCCAAAGTCTTCTTTGAATTGCGAATTGTCGGCTAGGGAGTTTCCATAGCAATCACAACAAATGTGCTGTGGTTGCTATGGGAGGAGAGCAGAGGGACATCCTGTGGGCATTGACTGACAGCTGTGAGAAAAAGAATATTTTTTTAATTACTTTTTTTCCTAATCTATACATTTGCTAGCAAAACCTCTAGCACAATGTATAGATAAAATTGGATGCTCAATCTAATGAGGATAAGTTGTTTGGGCCATGACAGGTGCCCTTTGAAAAAGACCTATCAGGTCGAAACATTGTTCTGTGTTACTGGTTTCCAGTAAAAATTGCCACTAAAAGAACCTTGGCAGTGCCTGGACCTTTTCGTTTTTTTCCTATATTATTGGGATGTGGGTGATGGGTCCTGGTCCAGCTGCACCCTGGCTCTGAAGAAAATAGTTTTGCCTTTTCTCATGTATTATATCGTTTTGCCCCATTTACTATTTGTAAGAAAAATAGCATTTTTGCTTTTATGCTAAGGACAATGTGTACTGTCTAAAGCTTTTTCCCAACCATTTTTATAAACGATGAACGAATAAGTGAAAAATAAACATTGTGTAAATTTATAAATTCTTTAATGCTTACGTTTGAAATCTATGTATAATATAAATCTATACACAAAATAGCTGTCTTATGAAATGTTTCTGTGTTAGCTATGCATCCATTGCTTCAAACATGACAGTATGACAATACTTTTTCAATCAAAAAGTGCTTGATAGTTAAGGGGTTAAATAATATAGCATGGACACTGCGAATAGTAATTCTCTCAATGTATATACGCCACAAACAGGTGCCCAGTACAGGAGGGTGCTGTTTATAGTACAGTCACAAAATGTTTACATTACAGTCGCCCAGTACAGTAACACGCTGTTCATATTAGTTTCACTGTTCAGTAGCACACTGTCTATATAACCCAGTGTAGTAGAATGCTGTTTATATTAGTCATTACGTGTAGTAGGATGCTGTTTATATTAGTTGTTCCCTGTAGTAGCATGCTGTTTATATTAGTTATTCCCTGTAGTAGCATGCTGTTTATATTAGTTGTTCCCTGTAGTAGCATGCTGTTTATATTAGTTATTCCGTGTAGTAGCATGCTGTTTATATTAGTTATTCCGTGTAGTAGCATGCTGTTTATATTAGTTGTTCCCTGTAGTAGCATGCTGTTTATATTAGTTATTCCGTGTAGTAGCATGCTGTTTATATTAGTTATTCCATGTAGTAGCATGCTGTTTATATTAGTTATTCCGTGTAGTAGGATGCTGCTTATATTAGTTATTCCGTGTAGTAGCATGCTGTTTATATTAGCTATTCCGTGTAGTAGCATGCTGTTTATATTAGTTATTCCGTGTAGTAGCATGCTGTTTATATTAGCTGTTCCCTGTAGTAGCATGCTGTTTATATTAGTTATTCCGTGTAGTAGGATGCTGTTTATATTAGCTGTTCCCTGTAGTAGCATGCTGTTTATATTAGCTGTTCCCTGTAGTAGCATGCTGTTTATATTAGTTATTCCCTGTAGTAGGATGCTGTTTATATTAGCTGTTCCCTGTAGTAGCATGCTGTTTATATTAGTTGTTCCGTGTAGTAGCATGCTGTTTATATTAGTTGTTCCCTGTAGTAGCATGCTGTTTATATTAGTTATTCCGTGTAGTAGCATGCTGTTTATATTAGTTATTCCGTGTAGTAGGATGCTGTTTATATTAGTTGTTCCCTGTAGTAGCATGCTGTTTATATTAGTTATTCCGTGTAGTAGCATGCTGTTTATATTAGTTATTCCCTGTAGTAGCATGCTGTTTATATTAGTTATTTCGTGTAGTAGCATGCTGTTTATATTAGTTATTCCCTGTAGTAGCATGCTGTTTATATTAGTTATTCCCTGTAGTAGCATGCTGGTTATATTAGTTGTTCCCTGTAGTATCATGCTGTTTATATTAGTTGTTCCGTGTAGTAGGATGCTGTTTATATTAGTTATTCCGTGTAGTAGCATGCTGTTTATATTAGTTATTCCCTGTAGTAGCATGCTGTTTATATTAGTTATTCCGTGTAGTAGCATGCTGTTTATATTCGTTATTCCCTGTAGTAGCATGCTGTTTATATTCGTTATTCCGTGTAGTAGCATGCTGTTTATATTCGTTATTCCTTGTAGTATGCTGTTTATATTAGTTATTCCATGCTGTTTATATTAGTAGGATGCTGTTTATATTTATATGTAGTATTCCGTGTGGGATGCTGTTTGCTGTTATATTAGTATATTCCCTGTAGTAGGATGCTGTTTATATTAGTTAGTTCCCTGTAGTAGCATGCTGTTTATATTAGTTATTCCGTGTAGTAGCATGCTGTTTATATTAGTTGTTCCCTGTAGTAGCATGCTGTTTATATTAGTTATTCCGTGTAGTAGCATGCTGTTTATATTAGTGTAGTAGCATGCTGTTTATATTAGTTATTCCGTGTAGTAGGATGCTGTTTATATTAGTTGTTCCCTGTAGTAGCATGCTGTTTATATTAGTTATTCCGTGTAGTAGCATGCTGTTTATATTAGTTATTCCGTGTAGTAGCATGCTGTTTATATTAGTTATTCCCTGTAGTAGCATGCTGTATTATTATATAGTTATTCCCTGTAGTAGCATGCTGTTTATATTAGTTGTTCCGTGTAGTAGCATGCTGTTTATATTAGTTATTCCCTGTAGTAGCATGCTGTTTATATTAGTTATTCCGTGTTAGATGTGTAATAGCATGCTGTTTATAATTAGTTGTTCCCTGTAGTGCATGGCATTATGTTTATTTGGTTATTAGTGCATAATTTATATTATTGGTTTTCGGTAGTAGCATGCTGTTTATATTAGTTATTCCTGTAGTAGCATGCTGTTTATATTAGTTATTCCGTGTAGTAGCATGCTGTTTATATTAGCTGTTCCCTGTAGTAGCATGCTGTTTATATTAGCTGTTCCCTGTAGTAGCATGCTGTTTATATTAGTTATTCCCTGTAGTAGGATGCTGTTTATATTCCACATTATTAAGCAGAGCACCATTTTCATACAATATGGGGTAGAAAAAGGATCTCTCTGCTGCCGAAAAGAGTGAAATAGTTCAATGCCTTGGACGAGGTATGAAAACATTAGATATTTCACAAAAACTTAAGCGTGATCATCGCACTATTAAGAGATTTGTGGCTGATTCAGAGCACAGACGGGTTCGGGCAGATAAAGGCACATTGAGGACGATTTCTGCCAGATCCATGCATTGGATCAAGAGAGCAGCTGCTAAAATACCATTACATAGCAGCAAACAGATATTTGCAAATGCTGGTGCCTCTGGACTCCCACGGACATCAAGGTGTAGAGTCCTGCAGAGTCTTGCAACTGTGGAAAAACCTTCTATTCGGCCACCACTAACCAATGCTCACAAGCAGAAACGGCTGCATTGGGCAGAAAAATACATGAAGACTAATTTTCAAACAGTGCTGTTCACTGATGAGTTCCGTGCAGCCCTTGGTGGTCCAGATGGATGGAGTAGTGGATGGTTGGTGGACGCCCACCCTGTTCCAACAAGGCTGCAACATCAGTAAGGTGGTGGTGGAGTCATGTTTTGGGCCGGAATCATGGGAAGAGAGCCTAGTCGGCCCCTTTAGGGTCCCTGAAGGTGTAAAGATGACCTCTGCAAAGTATGCAGAGTTTCTGACTGACCACTTTCTTCCCTGGTACAGAAGGAAGAACTATGCTTTCCGTAATAAAATCATCTTCATGCATGACAATGCACCATCTCATGCTGCAAAGAATACCTCTGCATCAATGGATGCTATGAGGATAAAAGGAGAGAAAGTCATGGTGTGGCCTCCATCCTCCCCTGACCTCAATCCTATTGATAACCTTTGGCGCATCCTCGAGCAAAAGATCTATGAGGGTGGGAGGCAGTTTACATCCAAACAGCAACTCTGGGAGGCTATTCTGACAAACAAATTCAAGCAGAAACTGTCCAAAAACTCACAAGTTCAATGGATGCAAGACTTGTGAAGCTGCTATCAAATAAGGGGTCCTATGTTAAAATGTAACGTGACCTGTTAAAATGTTTAAAAAGTTAAAATGTTGTTATAAGTTTGATTAAAATAGCTTTTGATTTCAGTAAATATACTGTAAACACAACAAATGACAATTTTCAGTTCTTTACAACCTATAAAGTGTTTTGAAACTTACTGTGCGTAATAATTTGGAACTGTGCATTATAAGGTTTTTATGTTTAAAAAAAATATTGTTATCATTAGGAGGTTTGTTCAATAAAATTTGAATTGTATTCTTAATAATAGATAACATGAGAATTATGCTGACTGTTATTTACATCAATTATTTAGGTAAATGAGAAAAATATCATTTGCATAATAATTTGGAACAGGGTATATGTGGGTACCGCAAGCATTGCACACAGTCTTCGACGTTGCGCATGATTTATTAAGTCCACAAGAGTAGGTCAGGGTGCTCTCCACTGGGGACCAGGATAACCCCCTCCGGTCCGGGGGAAGTGGGGGTCGGAAGCGGTGTCCCGGGGTCACATGGACAGATGAAGAGCAAGGAGTGCTGCGGCTTCTCCACAGCTCTGTCACAAGTAGGCCTCAAATCTCCGATTCAGACTATCAGTGTTAAAAAGTTGCTTGTGAGGAATCCTGAAGACCACCAGGACTCCCTCCGCTATAACCATGCACAGCTCTACTGAAATATGACTGTAGTTTGACATTTTTTGTCGGTTTATCAGTGCCAAATGCGAGAGCCTGCACAGCACACTTCTGATCCGCTCGGTGGCCAGACTCAGTTTCCTCTAACAGGTTACGTTAGCAGAGTGGATCCCCAGTTTCACCTCCCAGGCAAGTGTCAGGGATGATCCAAGGGCACAGGAGGAGTGCATTGCAGGAGTTTGTGTGTCACAATACCTATCCCTCGCAGTGCTGTGCGATCACAGATATTATGGCTTTTCTGAGTTTTGAAGCACACCCACTCATCCCTAGTTTTCTGGTGCCTCATTATGACATTATTTATGACTTGGACCCCTCCCATTAGTCTCCTTTTATACTGTCAGCCTTTTTGTCACTTTTTGATGATTGTGACATCATGGTCCTCTGTGACCAATCACAACCCAGTATAGGGTATATATACTTCCTGGTTTTCTTGTTTCTTTGCCCTGTCGTGGTTCTTGTTACCTGAGAGTGTGTTTATACTGTGTATTGGATTTCCTGTCAGCGCTATATTGAAAAAACCCTAAATTATATACAGGATAATCCACATATACTTTATGAAGTTGAAACAACTGTATATGCACTTTTAAAATTGGTGAAAGATACCTTAAAACCAATCAGCAGCATATATATTACAGCATGTACTATTTCAAAAAAAGGTATAAATACTGAAATGTCCAAGAGTCCTTGGATAGTAACACAGTGTTAATCTTGCCACACAGATAGGATCCACAGTCTTGAAATACACTATATACCACAGTGATTACAGTACCTTAAAAAGATACAAGAAAGATCCACATAGCGTAACACTGTATTTATTGGCAAATTAAAAAAAAAAACTCTCACTCAAAAGGAACTCTTCCAACCACAAATAAAGCGTTGGTGTACAGAAGTTAGTGAACGCTTTACCACCCAGTCCTCCTTATCGTGCAGGTCCTGGCAAGGTCTCCTGGCCGAAGAACAAAGCGCTCGTGCTGGGAGAACACCGCAGCTGGAAGCTGGGAGTCACTACTCTAAACCAAATGCCGCTCACGCTTCAACGCGTTTCGCACCTGTCACTGGGCTTTTTATATTACAGTCTGTACAGTAACACAATGTTTATATTACAGTCTACCTGTACAGTAACAGTGTTTATATTACAGTCTGTCTGTACAGTAACACACTGTTTATATTACAGTCTGTCTGTACAGTAACACATTGTTTATAATACAATCCGTCTGTACAGTAACACTGTTTATATTACAGTCTGTCTGTACAGTAACACAATGTTTATATTACAGTTTGTCTGTACAGTAACACACTGTTTATATTACAGTCACTCGGTACAGTAACACACTGTTTATATTACAGTCTGCACAGTAACATACTGTTTATAGTATAGTCACTCGGTACAGTAACACACTGTTTATATTAGTCTGTCTGTACAGTAACACACTGTTTATATTACAGTCTATCTGTACAGTAACACTGTTTATATTACAGTCTGTCTGTACAGTAACACACTGTTTATATTACAGTCTATCTGTACAGTAACACACTGTTTATATTACAGTCACTCGGTACAGTAACACACTGTTTATATTACAGTCTGCACAGTAACACACTGTTTATATTATAGTCACTCTGTACAGTAACACTGTTTATATTAGTCTGTACAGTAACACACTGTTTATATTACAGTCTATCTGTACAGTAACACACTGTTTATATTTGTCTGTACAGTAACACATTGTTTATATTATAGTCTGTACAGTAACACTGTTAATATTACAGTCTATCTGTACAGTAACACTGTTTATATTACAGTCTGTACAGTAACACACTGTTAATATTACAGTCTATCTGTACAGTAACACACTGTTTCTATTAGTTTGTCTGTACAGTAACACATTGTTTATATTACAGTCTATCTGTACAGTAATACTGTTTATATTACAGTCTGTCAGTACAGTAACACACTGTTTATATTACAGTCTGTCTGTACAGTAACACTGTTTATATTACAGTCTGTACCGTAACACACTGTTTATATTACAGTCTGTCTGTACAGTAACACACTGTTTATATTAGTCTGTCTGTGCAGTAACACATTGTTTATATTACAGTCTGTCTGTACAGTAACACACTGTTTATATTACAGTCTGTCTGTAAAGTAACACAATGTTTATATTACAGTTTGTCTGTACAGTAACACACTGTTTATATTACAGTCACTCTGTACAGTAACACACTGTTTATATTACAGTCTATCTGTACAGTAACACACTGTTTATATTAGTCTGTCTGTACAGTAATACATTGTTTATATTACAGTCTGTCTGTATAGTAACACAATGTTTATATTACAGTCTACCTGTACAGTAACACTGTTTATATTACAGTCTGTCTGTACAGTAACA